TCAATTATTCTGTGAAAGCAAAGTTGTTTAACCCAAAGTGGTAGCTCTATTAGTGAGAGACAAGCTCAAGTGCTCTAAGTGTGAATTTTTACAATCTCTTTGGTAAGACCATGAGTGATTTATATCATATAAATACACTAATCTTAGTATGGATGGTCTGCTTGTGACTGAACTGTTGATGAGATTAATTGAAATGTGTATAAATTGATTCGAACACCTCTGACCGTTGAACCAAAAAAAAGCAAAATTGTTTTAAGAAATCGATATAAAATTCAAGGTAACTTACATATGTATATCGAGTTTTAGCAAAAGAACACAATGTTCCATTGAAATTTTAGAAATGACACACATATAGCAACTAATGGCTCGTTTGATAATGTTTACGATTTTTGATTTTCTAAAAAACAAAAAATAGAAATTAAAAAACGAAAAACGTCTTTTTCTCGTTTTTTAAAATCACCTCTCGTTTATAAAACCACGACAGAAAAAAAAAACGGTTATCAAACTGAGTTTTTTTTTCTTGTTTTCTCTAAATATCAAAATAAAAATGAAAAAAAAAACATAAACATTACTGAACGGAACCTTAGTAATTGATTTTTTTTTCTTTTTTTCTTTTCCATTAATCACAATATTGTATGAATGTGGTCCAAATATTAAACAGGTCCCACGCATGTGTCATTCTAAGGGACAAATTAATATAAAAATCAATTAATTGCCAAAAAAACGAAAACATATGTCAAACCCAAAACCATAGCACCACCTACGCGCAAAACCCAATAACCACCACCACCTCTCTCTCTCTCTCAATTTCAAAAATGAAGCCGCAAAAATGCCACCCAAAAGATTCAAATTGCAAAATTGGATCGAAAATTAAAGGGCTAAGACAGAACATGGATTTTGATAGAGGAGGCAAAGTGAGTAAGTGAGAGAAAAGCTAGATGAAGTACCTTTTTGACAACCGATAGCCCAGAAGAATGGCTTGACTTTGAAATTTGAATCACTTTCTTTATGATGTATTTGGTTGGGTGGATGAAAAAATAAAAAGATAAAAAGTGGGAATGACACACTTTTTATTCTTTAAAAGAGGAATCCTTCCTTCTCTATTTTGTGTATGGTATTTTGTGTATGGTAGGAGGTATGAAAGTAGGAATAATTAATTATTTTTTTTTTTATGTTTTATAGGATGAAAAAATAGAAGGATAAAAAATATAGATGCATATTTAATGATATATAGGTAAATAACATACATTTCAACACATATAATTAATTTTTTATCTACTTTTTCTCTCAATTTTAGAGGAATTAATTTTAGTGAATTAAAAAGAAAGTTAATTTATCCACTTTTTTATCATTAAGTAATTGTGACAGCCGTCTCACGCTCACCAAAATATCTTATCTTAATGAGAGAAAATATTGTAGCCTCAAGTTAAATTTGAATATTTTTAATCATTATAATTTACCTTGAATTCAGTATGAGGATCTTAAGAAAACTGTCTGTATTAATGGATACAAACATTTTCATTGCACATGTTTTTATCTCTTTTGGAAAGTAATATATAGTAGAACAAGTTATGTACTAAAAACAATAAAATGATTTTTATGGCAAAGACTAGAGTAAGTTATGATTGATATCCTAACAAACACATAGATGGCCAAAAAATCTTGCAACTGGACCTCAGTTTCGACAAAGTCAAGAATGTACCAATCTCAAGCGGCTAAGACACTGGAAGTTTGAGTCTTTACACATTAGGTCAAAACACCCATAGCCACACATTTGCCTCATATGAAAAATGTGCATACCCACTACATTGCAATTACTTCTCATCCAATTTTAGATACTCCCGCCCCACTCCAATTATGTTTCTTCTATTCTAGATGAGCAGTCATCCAATTTTATTTTTCCAGGCTAGCAATGCATGGAGCGTCGTCCAATCATCCAATTTTAGAGACTCCAGTCCCAATCGATTAATGTTGTGCTTGAACATGATTGAATGCTAATGTTTATATGGTTGTTTTTTTCCCTTCAATTCCAAGTCATTCTGAACAAAAAGTACAATCAGATGGGCTTATTGAAATTATTTTTTAAATTTTGTTGCAAAATTCTTAGTTATGTTTCCAATCACAAAGTAGATGTTATGTTTGATTTTTCTTTGAATTTGTTGTTTAGTGAACTGCATTAATTTTGGTGGATCTAGTTGGTTGCTGAGTGAACAATTGCACAATATTTTTTGATCAATTGAGAAATTTATATAGGAAGTGAATCTTATCGATGATTTCATTGAATAACAGTAGGTTGACTGAATCGAAGGAAATTTCAAAAAACATAAAATAAAAAAAATACTAATGTTTGTCTAAGCGCCGAGAAATTAAATGCATAGACTGATATTCCTGGCGTTTTAATGAACGCTTTTGATGTTGTCTCTGGTCATTAAAATTTGGGAAAAAGATTGGCATTTCACTTGCGTCGGAGGGAGCGTCGGTAGTACATTTCTTGGCATTTAATAGATATTGGCGTTTGTGGCATTATTTCAAATGCCGATATTGCTATTTTTCCCTGTTGTGGCCTATCTGACATTTTAATTGGAGATTCAATTGTACTTACCCAAATAATAATCGAGAATATAAATGATAATAGTCCTAATATCAATGACACGTCAGTGAGGACGGTTCTATGTGGGATATCATAAGTGTGGATTCGAAACCCCTCTTTGTCTCGGGAAACAAAAGAGTTGGGTGCAACTCCAAAGCATGAATGAATAGCACACCCATTTGGTACCAACTAGTCGGATCAAATTGTAAATAGTATAGACACTATGTAAAACTTAAGGAATGCATCAAGTTGGGTCAAGGGGTTGAAAAAATTATGTTTCAAGTCTATGATTGATGTAGGGAAGCGGGTGAAAATAATGACATAATAAACAAGAACGAGATAATGAAAATAAAGCATTGATTTATGTACAAATACTGGTTTAAAATCCAACTCTAAGTGTGTTGATTTACAAAGAATACTAGTTTTAAAGACTTCAATTGATCTATTGATTCTTAAAAATACCAAAATAATTGGGAAGAAAAGGGAGATCTCTCAATATTTTAATTCATCCAAAACAGTTTTGCTCTAAGGTTTACAAGACTTTATATAATAGTAGAAATCCTAAACTAACTTGGAAAATATAATTCTAATTTTATTAGGAAATCAAATAAATAAAATAAACCAGAAAATAAAAAAAATAACTTTTTAATTAAATTTAAAAATAAAATAAAATAAAATCTCCTATTTTTACTAATTAAAAGACATTGACCACATTCAAATAAAATACCAAAAATCTTGCCGTTTATTCTGCATCAATGATGGAGCATATTAATAAAAGACCAATGTTATTGGTACATAATTTGGGGACATAATGAGTTGTCACAAATGATATGATAATCAATTTATTTAATGCTACAATAAAACTTATCATTAAATACATTTCAGTATCACTTCATTGATGATAACTCATTATGTCCTCAAATTTGTTCATAAATTATATATCAATAGCATTAATGTAAAAAAAAATGTCTACGATAGAGTCGTGGGACAGGCATCGCCCACACAGCAGGAGCAGGAAGCAGGAAGCAGGAAGCTTCCAGCAACCTCAGGCGTCGCCCCACAGCAATGCCCAGTCGGCCGAGCATGGCTACATCCATCTGCCCCGTCTCAGGCGTCTCTTGCGCCTGGCACCACCACTCCCCTCGCCTTCGTGTCGCCCCTGCCCAGCGCCTAGCTTGCTGATTGGCTATGAATTGACCCGAGACTTATGCATCGTTCGGTAAGAAGGATGAAAAACAACAATGATGGAAAATATGATAGTTACACTTTCTATCATTCAAAGATGAAAACTAAAAATGATACATTTTCTTTCATTTGTATTTGGTTAGATGAATGAAAAACAAAAATAACCAAATTTTTTTTTAAATTTTTTTTTTAATATTAGAGGTGACAATCGAGTTCTGTCGTATCAGATTCGTGTTCAGTCATAAAATTATGAGCCTTTTATATTTCTTGTTCGCGTGTCAGGTCATTTTCAAGTTCGTATCGATTTATAATCAAGTTGGTGTCATAAAATTCGTGTCGAGTTCGAATCATGTCATCGTGTTAGGTCAAAAATTTTTACCCATAATTAAGATGAAATTTTTTTTTTTAATTTAAATATTTTTATTTTTATTTTTTAATATATATATATATATATATATATATATATATATATATATATATATATATATATACATATTTTTCTATTGTATTTTTATATGAAATTAATGTATACATATATAAATATAAATAAGATACATTAGATGTTAGATCTCGTATCTGTGAACAAAAGTTGCAGAACCCAGCACCAGTTGAAAATGTGAAAATCGCTGCAAACGTGGGTGTATCAGATTCAACAACCAGACAAAAATCTTCCAATTATGTGAAAATCCCTGCAAATGTAGCAGTATTACAATCCCCAATTCGACAAAGATCCCCCAGAACAAACACCAATTGCTCCTGCAACACCTGTTACCCACTCACCGTCATTGAGAATACATGATGTTCAGGAATCACTCGATCTGATGGAGTGGAACCTGCAAGCTCGTCTGAAACTGAAAGCATAGAGGAGTTATCTCCAACCAAGGAACGAGAATTAGATATCAGTCCGATGCATGAGGTATGTCCAATCAGCATATCAACTTCTCTTGCACGAGTTACATATAATCCTTTCACAATAGAGTGGAGAGATTATTTTAGTTTGTAAGTTTGGCGTTATCAAATTTGAGGGGGTTCCCTTGCATGTAGAACATGAATGTTGAACTAAAATGTGTTGTCTTCAAGTTACTTTCACTTGTCTACCACTGATTTGTGTCAGGAGACGAATTCTTATGAAGGAAATAGCCAGGAAAAGCGTAAGAAATTGGTTCCATTCTCCTAGCTACCCTCCCCCTCCCCTTTTTGCAACACACATACTTCACACTCAACAGACTAATATTTTATTGTATTTGGAGAGTGATAATAGGCATTTTTACACGACTCTTAACCGGATGGCAGAAAAATGGTCTCTGAGAACCAGGTATGGTGGACAGGGGAAGATAGAATTTTCTCCATTGAACTAAAATGTGTTATCTTCAAATTAATCCAAAATTTGAAATATGAATTGTCAGTGACCGTAGAATTGACAATTTGGCAAATATGATATACAAGTTAACATACTCAAAATGTCAAAATTCAACAACAACGACTTCCGCTTTTAAATTACACCCTTCATCGCTAATCCTTTATACTCTCTACCATCACCAAAACTACCAAACATACCTAGAGCATACTCATTATCAACACTGGAATCTGTACAAAAAACATACTATCTTTTGAGAGAGGTTGCAATCTTGAATGGGTCATACTCCAGTCGTCTTGAATTCTATATGATTGGAATATCGATTTGTTCCCAAAGTGGACTGGGTGACCATATTGTCGAAATCATGAAAAGCTTCTCGGAATTAATGTGGAAAACTGGAGAACTTGATTCGCACTGGAGTCTCTTCCACCCATGAATTAGACTTTACGTCAGGTCAGTTAAGGTTCCGATACCCATTGATGCAACGGTATCAGGGGCATGACTAAATCAGATGTTGCTAATTAAAATAGGATTCTAACAAAATAGGGAACATAAATAGAAATGAAATAACTTCATCAATCAATTTATACATGACACAGACTTATGTCTTAATTCTCTTTAAACACAAACACAAGACAACATGCCCTTCACATGATGCACACACCCACTGGTCCACTACTGTTCTTTCTTATCGTTTTTATTTCCTTGTTATGCTTCTCCTCATCTATTCGATTCCTATTTGATTCTATGATATACATCATAGTATATTAACCAAGACACAAGAATCATATGTCTTTCTTTATCTTGCACGTGACAGACGACTTTCTAGCCTATGTTAGATAAAATAAACCACACATGTTCCCGTCGCCATTGATGAGCCCAGATTTAATTGGGTCTAGGCTTGGGCTTAGATCATGGGTTAAGCTCAAACTATCAAAAAGGCCAGGTCTAATTCGTGGCTTGACTCCGTCTGAATCTCAAGAATCCAGAAAATGTCAACACATGTGGGAGAGTAGTCATTGAGAAAGTCATGACTACAGGATAGTGTTCATCCCCAATTGCAGCTATCCTAATTTGACCTTCACGCCTCATCTAGGACTTTGCACCTATAAATTGTAGACTCTTTAAACAAGGTAGACACACACTACACTTTGAGCATACATTTACTCTTTCTCTCCCCCCCCTTTCTCTCTCCCCCTACTTCCTTATATTCTTTTATTAATATAATTCTTCAGCCAACGTTGTCGTCTTCAGTAGTTAGGTCATTCAAATCCAACCATCCAATCTTTGTCTTTGTTATTAATTGTTCCATTATTTGCCTTACGTCACACTCGACTAACTTGATTGTACTTAATCTATTTTGTGCATCATCAGCTATATCTTTCTATTTTTCCAAAATCAAATTTCTTATGGTGTACACATAATAAAAGACAAGACATCATCACGACAAGTGGCCCTGACTAAGCAAATTCTTTCCTTAATTGCCTTTACATGCCCTTAAGTTTTCATAATGGTCTTTCCTTCCTGCATGCATATGGCTCAACAAGAAATCACTTTGTTGTGCTGTAATCTTTTTACAGAATATAGGAAGATGATGTGAATTTAGGATTCCCTTTGAACTACAAATTATTTTGGAACAGGTTGTTATTGAGGGTGATTCTTTGATCAATGCTTCAAGTTCAGATGAGTTATAGTTTTCTAACAATAATTGCATTTTATATTGGAACATAAATCCCCCCAATCCCCCCCCCCCCCAAAAAAAAAAAAGGGGGGGGGGGAGTGTGGGCAAACATGTCACTAGTACCTAACAATGCTGGTGTATTGAAACTATCTTGCAGGTTTTGAGAACTGAAGGATACATCGAAGTGAAGGAGGATAATGCCTATGAGGACATTCTTGTCTTGGCAACTCCAAAATTGTCTTTTGGCTTTTGAAGCTGATGGTGTAGATTGCAGCTTAGTTGAGGAGCTAGAGCCTCCGTCTGTGTTATCGTACACTGGTATATGCCTTTATTCGGAGAAGTCTAGTTGCACATTTTATGTATATTTGAGGCTGAATGTGAAGGAGTAATTAGTGGTTTTCTATTCTTATGTGAAAGCAAAGTTGTTTAACCAAAGTGGTAGCTCAAGTAGTAATAGAAAAGAATTGTAAATTTAAGAGTTTAAACTTTTGTATGCTCGTCCCGGCGTGGATGGTTAGTTTTTTTGATTGAAGCGTTGATGAGATTAGCAGAAGTGTGTGTTAGCCGATCCGAACACCTCTGACTGATGAACCAAAAAAAAAAGCAAAATTGTTTTAGGGGACCAATATATAATTCAAGGTAACTTACATATGTATCTTGAGTTTTAGCAAAAAAAACACAATGTTCTATTGAAATTTTAGAAATGACACACATTGCAACTTAGTAATTGATTTTTTTTTTTATTTCTTTCTTTTTCATTTATCACAAAATTGTTGGGATTCAGTACACTTTAAACCCAGAAACAAACACACACAATCGAAGAATAAACTAAAAACATAAAACAATGAGAAGTAAGAAAGAACAAGACACACAGATTTATATGGTTCGATAATTTGCCTATATCCACGAAACTGCAGGAAATTCACTATTGAGAAAACGGAATACAGATGGCGGCTATACAGTTACACTCAAACCCTAATCATTAAAGTAACATGTTTTTATATATCCTGTTTACCGGGCTACAAAATCGGCACAAGCCTTCGCTCCATGGACCAAGTCTCAGAAAATTTTTCATTAAAAACCATGCAACATTATTTTGAGTCGGGTCATCATTCGAATCGCACATACAAACTAGATTCCATAAAAGCCTAACAATTGTCCCACTTGGAGACTAATTCAAACATCAACATCAACTGCAATTCTCCCAAAAACAATCCCTCATCTCGGCAGCTCATCCTCCTGTCCTCAAGCTAAGAGACCCACAGAAGCTGAACAAGACTTTAGCTTCTCCAAAATAACCACTTTCGTGAACATATCTGCTGGATTATCTTTTTTGTGAATCTTCTCCAAAGTGAACTACCAATCCTCCAACAAATAGCAAATAAAGTGATACTTTATGTCGATATGCTTGGTCCTCGAATGAAAAACTGCATTCTTCTCCAGATGTATCGCACTCTGACTATCGCTGAACAATTTAGAATTGTCTTACTCCTTACCCAACTCTTTCATAAAGCTCCTTAACCATACCATCTCCTTGCATGCCTCAGTGACTGCAACATATTTTGTCTCTGTTGTTGAAATAGTCACTATTTTCTAGAGCCTCGAGACCCAACTGACTGCTGCACTGCTCAATGTAAAAATATACCTTGTAGTGCTCTTCCTGCTGTCAATGTCCCCTGCTAAATCAGAATCTACAAACCCTTGCAAACAAACATCAGAACCCCCAAAATTCAAAGCCAAATTTGAAGTACCTCTCAAGTAGCACAAAATCCACTTGACTGCTTCCCAATGCTCCTTGCCTGAATTTGCCATGAACCAGTTGACAACTCTTACTGCATGAGCAATATCTAGCCTTGTATTAACCATGGCATACATGAAATTGTCTATCGTCGAGGCATATGGAACCTTTGCTATATAGTTCTGCTCTTCATCTGTTACTACACATTTTTCC